GGCATCTTATGGGGTGTCATGAGGCTTGATTGCAGCTTGCTCTTTCCAACCACTCGTCCAAGTGTTGTCCTAGTACTTCTCCCCTGTCCCCAGGAGCTATGACTTAAACCCATTTGATTTCAAGTCACATGTGTCATGCTCCTGGCTGTGGGAGGAAGCAGGGCAGCAGGACAGACCTGGGGAAGGGGCCGGGAGAGGCCCTTCCAGGTGGTTCTGAGGCCGCGCTGGGCTCGTCTTGCAGGTGTGGCGGCTGCACTGTCTTTCTGCACACCTGGCCTTCTTACCTATCCACGGCTGAGTGCCAAGCAAAGGCAAATAACTTTGTGTGTGTGTGTCTGTGTCTTTGTGTGTCTGTGTGTGTGGTACCAGGGATTGAACCAGGGGTACTTCATCATCGAGCTACATCCCCAGCCCATTTAGTTTTATAAAAATTTTGAGCAGGGTCTTGGTAAGTTGCTGAGGGTCTTGCTAAGCTGCCAAGGCTGCCTCAAGTTTGTGGTCCTCCTGCCTCACCTCCAGGTGGCTGAGATTATGGGTGTGTGCCACCTCACCTGGCAAAGCAACAGATCTTAATTTGTGCAAGCCACTGAGTTTAATCTTGCTTTTGAGACTTTCTTTGCATCATAAAGGTTTGCTTTATAAGTCAAGAACTTCAGATTGCTAAATTCAGACTTGGCTGCTACTGACCACATCAAAATCACTAAGCCTGCTTTCCTCTGCACAGCGCAGCCGTGTCCTGATCCGATGGCACCACCTAATGGTCACATTTCACCTGTGCAAACCAAGTACATCCTCAAAGACAGCATCTCTGTCTTCTGTGAGACTGGCTATGAGCTTCTGCAAGTGAGTTACTACAAAACCATACTCACAGGGTCACAATCATGGCGAGATGTGCACACATGTGTGAGCAGATGCATAAAAAGAAAGCAAAAACAGTGTAAAAGAGGCAGGGCAGCTCTGCGGTCAGTGCTTCAACAATAAAAGGCAGATCCGCTCGTAGACCACAGGGACAGCCATGGAGAGTTTCGTCCTTGGGAATCCTGCCTTCTTAAAAATTATTTATTTTTACATTTATTGGAGGGGATTGGGGATGGAACCCGGGCATCACACATGACAGGCAAACGTTTACCACAAGCTACTTGGAGAGCTGGTGATTAAAAGGGGAACTTTTGTTCGCTTGCTGCAGCAGCTAGCTCTTCATAAAGCGGCTGAAACGACAGAAAGAGGCACTCACCAGACTTGTTCCATGAGCTCTGCGGCAACACCGTGAATTAAATCAAGGTCCTCCCTCTGGTCAACAGATGACCTTCCCATGGAACAACTTCTGGGCCCACAAAAAATTAGATAGTGCTGGGAAAGAGTATATTCTGCAAAGTTATAAATAGTGATCACTGTTAAGGGAGAGGGAGTATAATTTTAAAAAATGCTTAGCATGTTGCTTTAGGGGCACAGGTAAGAGATTAACACGTCCTCTTTATGTTCTTCAAAATTGTCACTGAATCCCAGTGGTAAAAAGTAATAATACTGAAATGATAGCTGGCGATGCAACCCACAGTCCTGTGGAGGGTCAGAACCAAAAAAAGAAAAAAATTTCACCTTCCTAGCTCTTTCCTACAATTCCTTGACTACAAACTTGTTCAGTTTCTCACTTGATTAAAACAAAAAAAGACACCTTGAGGTCCTCTGAAGCATAAAGCTTCTGCCAATGCCACCCTCTTTGTGTGTGTGTGGGGGGGTATCCTGGGGGTTGAACCAGAGGTGCTTTACCACTGAGCCACATCCCCAGCCCTTTTTGTTTTTTTGAGACAGTGTCTCACTAAGTTTCTGAGGCTGACCTCCAATTTGTGATTCTCCTGCCTCAGCCTCCCTAGTAGCTGGGATGACAGTCATGCATCACCACAGCCAGCCATCCTCTTTCATTTTACTGTTTGGTTTTATTTCAGAAAGTCAAAATAGTTTTCCCTCTAAATCCCACTGATGGGAAAGCTGATTACATGCAAAGCTCGTGACAATATTTCAGTAGCCTTCCTCTGGCTGATCCACTGACCTCAGGTCAGAAAGACACACAGATACAGGGGTTCTGTGTCTGATCATGCCAGCCTCTCCCAAGCTTTGGACCATACACCTCGGGCCCTTTATATAAAGGAAGGGTGAACTTTGAGTTCTAACGTGTTTTTGGATTACTGTGGAAAGGAAAAAAACCATAAATCACTGCAGCAGAAATACCGATGCATGTTTAGAGTTGAGATACCTAACAGGTGATCTAGCCTAGCAGAGCTTCGTGTAGCACGTGCATATGCTCCAGGCATCTGGGTGTGCACCAAGTCCAGGCCCCCCGTGTGCCACCACACATGAGCTCTGTTCATGTGGCTGCCACCTCCCTTTCGTGAAGCACTGGAATAGGAACTGCTGTGGGGCCCAGCTCTCAGTGACTAGAGGATGTAAACAAGGAAATTACTGTCTGAATTTCTCTTTAGGGTGCTTTGCCCCTGAAATCATTCACTGCAGTCTGTCAGAGAGATGGATCTTGGGACCGACCCATGCCAGAGTGCAGCTGTACGGCCATGTGGTGACAACTCCCTCACCTGCTGCTACCCTTACTGCTTCTGTCACTTCTCTGCCCCTCCCCCCAAACAATGGTTACATATATCAGGGCTTTGATTCAAAACTTGCTTCACCTCCTCAGTCGGCACTTAGAGGCTCCAACAGCACGAGGTTACTAGGGAAAAGTCAAAGTGTGCTCTTTGCATACATTATACACACACAGTGACATTGAGAACCCATCACACCACCCAGTGAAAGTATAATCACCATCATTGTTTTGATGTATATCTCTCCAATTACACATATCTCACATGTATGAACATGTTCTTGCTGCCACATGTTGAGATGGGAGTCATTCTGTCCATATGTATGTACATAAACACACATATGCACACTCACAAACTGGGATAATGGTGCACCATTTTGTAGACTAAGAATCATAAATTTAAAGAATCGTAAAAATAGCATTTCAATTGTAAAAATACAAACATGTAAATTGAAAAAAATAAGGAATTTACAATATACAGCAAAAGCATCTTTTGCCTCTCTCCAAACTACCACTAAGTTTGGGGGATATACTAGGGGATGGAGCTCAGTTATAGAGCACTTGCCTGGCTTGCACAAAACTGAGTTCATCCCCCACAATGCCCTCCCCCAAAAAACAATTGGGTGGAGGGGCTCTATTCATTCTTTTTTTCTCTTAATATATTTATTTTAATGTGGTGCTGAGGATCGAACCCACTGTCTTACACAGGCTAGGCGATCACTCTACCTCTGAGCCCCAGCCCAGCCCTATTCCTTCATTCTTTATTTCCTATTATGAACATGCATTTCATTATGATGGCCTTGAACCAAATGATGGCACTCTGCTTCCTCCTGGCTGAGACACCTTCCCTCATCTGCCTGATTTAAGAGGCCTACTCCCGGATCTGTGTACAGCCCAATCACTTCGGTGCTTTTACTTTATCCAATTTCTATTGCCAGAGTTTTGCTATTGTCAGGTGTAGATTTAAGTCTGTACACCTTTTTTGTGCATTTTTTGCAAATTCTATGGAACAAGAAACTTAAGTTTTTTCTTTTTATAAACTTACATCTCCACCAATGAGAAAACAGTAAAGAGCTGGTCTGGGTTTGAACCCTGATCCTGCCACTTTTTGCTGTGCCCAGGTGGGAAAACACCAGTCCCATCTTCTCATCTACAGCATGGCAGATTGGCCCTGTCAAGAGCTGTAGTGACATTGAGGAGGAAAGTGGAGAACTTGGCCCACAGCTACGAGGTTGCCAAAGTGCAGCTTTAATATCCCCAGGAGAACTACACCAACAACTCCTGTCTACTGTGGAGAGAACTAGGACTTCAGACAAAAATTGCTCCATCTCATTTGTATCACAAATTGGCTAGTGATATCCTAAGCACTGTGAATTCTGGTCCACACTCAAGGGATGAAATGACGACCCTCAACACAACTGTTTTGCTCAGACTCCAGGTGGTCTAAAGTTCTGGTTGGAAGAACCCAGGAGAAGGCCCTGGGTTCATTGGCTTATCTTGACCCAGGCCTGCTGCTCTCCTCCTCCCAGAGTGCTGCTACACAGCAGCCTTGTGTCTTTCTGCACCAGGGATCGAGCCCAGGGGAGGGCTACCACTGAGCCACACCCCAAACCCTTTTTATTTTTTGAGACATGGCCTTGCTAAGTTACTTAGGGCCTTGTCAGTTTGCAGTTTGTAATCCTCCTTAATAACCTGAGTGCACTGCACCTGGCCAGTCTTTCTTTCATGAGAACTAAGGAACTCCAAGGATTTCCTTTAGGGAAGGCACTGCCCTGCTCCTCTCCTGGCCCGGCCATCTAATTAGAATCTGGACACGAGTGATGCTTTGAGATCACACTAATGTGATTCTTGCTATTTCCTAGAGATGAAATTCATAATACCAATCACATAGGGGGAAATGCATGTGGTCCAGCCCACCTTCTAGATAAGCTGCTAGTGGTCTTCAGAACTTTTCACTAATTTTATGGTTCGGGAGATGGAACTCAGGTCTCGTAAGGCAAGTGCCCTGCCACGGAGTCTACTCCCAGCCCTCCCTTCCCATATTTCTTCACTAGTGGTGGACTGTGGCCCTCCAGAGGAGCTGCCCAATAGCCGAGTGGAATACCTCACTGGTCCTGAAGTGACCACCTATAGAGCTGAGATTCAGTACCTCTGCACAGAGACCTTCTATACAATGAAGAGGAATAATGGTAAGAAAGGTTTGCAAAGTTGGGGTGGCGATATTTAGAACTTAAGCTTTTGTGTTCTGGAAATAAACTTTAACCAACATTTTTGGCTAAGGAAGACAAAAGATTAAAAGGCACTTCTCCCACCGCTAAGTGAAATATTACAGCTAAAGTGACTTTAATGTCAATTTGCAAGAAATCTGAAAACAGATCTTATCTAGTAAATGACTACTACAAACACACAATATATTCCAAATGGTTTAATTTAACAAGTCAAAACGTTATCATTAAGCACTTGAGATCTTGATACATATTCAAGTTACACATCTAAAAGGTTTCCACTTTGCAAGCAAACATGGTAATGCAGAGACCTCCTATTTATGAAATCATGTAAAATGGTTAGTCAGACACCTCTACCTCCCACGGATGCTCAAGAATCAACATTTTTCAAGGGGGTATTCAAGCAAATGACAACCAACTTATACATGCAGTTAAACATTTTTGCTTTTCCAATGATTTGCAGGTAAATATGTGTGTGAGGCTGATGGATTCTGGACGAGCTCCAAAGGAGAAAAATCACTCCCAGTCTGTGAGCCTGGTAATGGACACATTTATACAAGATTCGTAATTGACAGAAAGGAGAACTGGGTGGGAGACAATAAGAAGTGCTTTAGCTGTGGTAGGCAGAAATGGAACTTTAGCACTTGGCTCTTAGACCAAGTTATTATTTCCAAATAATCTGTTCTCATTATCCCCTTTCCACACAGAGAGGTTGTGCAGTGCTGACTGCATCAGTCATTTGATTATTTTTGACCTTATAACTAGGCAAGCATAAAAAATTAAATGATTTTTTAAATTATCTTGAACCATTTATACATTTATAAACACGAGTTCTTCTGTTGTTACTTTTCTTCTCTGTAAAAATGCTATTAAAACCCAAAGCTAATAACTTCATTATTTCCCTAAGCAATTGTTTTCAATGACATCTAGGTTTTTAAACATTAATGCAATTTGCTTTTTAATATGCTTAATTTTTTTAAACCAGAATTGGCTCTAACAATAATAATTGAGAATGATTTTTTTTAAAAAAAATCTGAAAGGTAATAATATATTCATTATCCCTCTGTTATTTGGCTTAAATTGTTTTTTTTTTAAACCTATACTTGGCCGACACAACGTTTTTGAGTTTAATACAAGTATACTGCCATAACGGGAAACATATGCTACATTAATGAGCATAATTAATCTGCAATAAGGACACAGTAAGATTCAGTGTTTGGAAGAATCAACCAGACCACAAACAATAATTTCTGACCTGAAGGGTCCTGGATGGTACTGGGATGGAACCTGGGGCACTCTCCCATTGAGACACATCCCAGCCCTTTTTATTTTCTGAGACAGGGGTGAAGCTGCTCAGGCTAGTCTTGGATCTTCCTGTCTCAATCTCCTGAGTTGCTGAGATTCTAGGCATGTGCACTGCACACAGCTCCCCAAATCTTATAGACCAAATTTTTTTAGTAAAAAAAAAAAAAAAAAATTTCCAAAATTTAAATTTCACTCACATTTCCTGAAGAACTAAGAAATACCAAAAGTATTTACAACTTTGAATTGTGCTATTTTAGAATAGTCTTACGCACCTATGTAAGGAAACATCCTACTTGTAGGACCTAATTTTTGGCTGACATTAAACATACACACCACCAAAGTGGTAAAAACTTAAAAAAAAAAAAAAAAAAAAAAAAAAAAAGCCCCACTGGATTTTTACAAAGTCTCTCTCACTGCTTCTTCCCCAGTGTGTGGACTATCAGCCCGGACTACAAGAGGTCGCATATACGGAGGGCAAAGGGCACAGCCTGGTGATTTCCCCTGGCAAGTCCTGTTACTAGGTCAAACTACAGCAGCAGGTGCACTTTTATATGACAACTGGATTCTAACAGCTGCTCACGCCATATATGGGCAAAAAGAAGAGGTATCTTCCCTGGACATTCGAATGGGCATCCTGAATAGACTATCGCCTAACTACACAAAAGCCTGGGCTGAGGCTGTTTTTATACATGAAGGTTACACTCATGAGGCTGGTTTCGACAATGACATAGCACTGATTAAATTGAAGAACAAAGTTGTAATCAATAGCAACATCATGCCTATTTGTCTGCCAGGAAAAGAAGCTGAATTTTTGATGAGGACAAATGACATTGGAACAGCATCTGGTTGGGGATTAACTCAAAGGGGTTTTCTTGCTAGAAATCTAATGTTTGTCGACATACCAATTGTTGACCATCAAAAATGTACTGCTGCTTATGAAAAGCAGTATCCAGGGGGAAGGGTAACTGATAACATGCTTTGTGCTGGCTTAGAAACTGGAGGCAAGGATAGCTGCAGAGGTGACAGTGGAGGGGCACTAGTATTTCTAGACAACAAAACAGAGACTTGGTTTGTAGGGGGATTAGTGTCTTGGGGTTCTATTAATTGTGGGGAAGCAGGTCAGTATGGGGTATACACGAAAGTCATTAACTATATTCCCTGGATTGAGAACATAATTAATAATTTTTAATTTGCATGTGTTCAATCAGTAAATGAGTCATTTTTAGAACCCTGTAAAAGATCTTAGCAGTAATGTGACATAGCAGCTACCACCCCCCACCACCACACACACAAAATAACCCAAACTCCAGGTGACACTGTTACAGGTACTAATCCATTTAATAGTATAATGCCACCTTACTTGTTGATTGAAGGGGACATAAACCATCACAGTAATACAATGACATTCACCTTCACCACCCCAATATAACTCACTGCTTAAGAGGCATTTACTTACAAAGCCCACCTTTTCATACTAGTTGTTTGCATTTCTGCAAATTGCTTGTCTATTTTCCACTTGTTTTTACTGATCTCAAAGAGTGCTTTATATATTATAGCACTATGGGTTTTAGGGGAGAAACTTTGAAAAATCATTTTTTTCCCAGGTAGATAAGATGTTCCTATTAATTGGAAATAACCTAAATAATGTTCAACTTCAGAATACTGTCTAAATCAAATCTGGTATTTCCACAAAATGAAATGTACTAGAAACAAGTGGTCATATTATAGATAAATCTGAAGTTTTTTTTTTTTTCCCTTTTCCTTAACTGAACACAAAATTCTTGGGCACAGGTAAGCTTAACAATAGACAAATTCTACCATAGCTGAGTAGATAATTCTATTATTCAATTCAGAGATACTCTCCTGTGTGTAATAATAAAAATTCTAATTATCAGATGCAACTGAATTACTGTGTAACTTCCTACTGTTCCTACTATGGAAATACAGGTGCTGATTTAATCTTAAAATTTAATTTGATTTTACTTGGCTATCCCTAAAACTTTTTATTTATTTATTTATTTTGCACCGCTGGGGACTGAACCCAGAGCTTCATGCATGTGAGGCAAATGCTCTGCCAGAGTAACATCCCCAACCTTCTTCCCTAAAAAATTTAACAATAAATATTTAATTAAGTTTTTCAATTTAGTTAGTTAACATTATATGAAAATTCACTCTGACTTTAGGTCTAATTTCTCTTGTGCATATAAAGTGTAATTTCTTGATAATCACTTTTTAAAGGTAACTTTCCAGCATCATTGTCACATAGGAAAAAGAAATCATGTTTTTCCAGTAAGACTCCAGACACTAAACTGTGGTGACAATAAAATTTTTATTCAACTGTGGTTCAAAAAAATTTTTAGAATGAATGCATTTAGATGACCAAATAAGACTTTTAAAAACAAATCTTTGCCAAATAGTTTAAGTACTTCTAAACTTTAATTTTTTTTTAAAGGGCAGAATAACTACCCACTATGTAGTATCATAAACATGTTAAATAAAAGGCTACTCAACATTGAAAGCCTTCTATGACCAGCAACTAGCTTTAACAAGTGTAAATAAGGTATTAAAACCATGCCATCGATAAGTTAACTTACCCCTGGGCTCCTTGAAGGCTTGTCAGTTTAGTCTTTGGAGGTCCCCGAATACCATTTTAAGTGTTACCATGTTACTGCTGCTGAGTAATAGTGCAAGTGCTAAAATGCAAAATTCAGATGGTACAGGGTTTGGAAATCATGCAGATTCAGATGCAGAAAAAAATTAAAACAACTCAAGATCCTTTTACAGAGGAAACTGCATAACAAAACAATGTGGCAATCACAGTCTAAAGGATGATTTCACTTATAAATGTTTAAAACACTCAACTTGCAGAATGACAAACCTATTTATTGTAGTCTAAGTAGGTAAGGGCATCAGGTAAACTACCAACACAAAAACTGTCACATTCTTCCAGTTAGAAAACGAGATCCTTATATCTCACAGGATTAGCATTTACATAAAAGTACAATAAAGAATCAATATATATTATTGCTTTTACATTCTTAACAATGCATTGTGAGAGTCTAATCTGAGTTCTGTAAGCGAGTTTATTCAACATTATTATACTTCCCTCCCTTGGAGGGCAAAGCCCACTTCACTTAACACTTCCACAGACAGACAACCCACCCTACTGGTTCTTAAAGCTATCAGGCTTCTTAATGGATTTCAGGCACAAGGTAATTTGTGGTTTCTTCTACTTTATCCCTATTGCAATTAATTCCACTTTTCAAATCCCAAACAGAAAGGTACTGATAGTCCCTTCTTTTCAATTGATAGGCTTTGCTACAAAGCATTTGAAAATAATGTTTTGCCCACTCTCCCAAACAAGAATATTTTTAGAAGGCATTATTTCCCAATGGAGATTTATACAGGCCATGTAAATAGAACATCACCCAAATGCACAGAGGCACTAAGAAAAAGCTGGAGGGTACTGCTTACCATTTTAGGTGCGGTCACCCAGACTTATTAAAAACTAGATTAAAAAAAGAAAAAAGAAAAAAGAAAAACTTTTCACTTTGGACAATGCAAGAACAAATAGCAATTAAGTCTGGGTATCAGGTGTCAATGCATGACAGGTGATGAATCCATTTGACTTGAGACAACTTTTCAAATAAGTTTATTTGAAGCAAAATAAACTACTGCCAAGAAACTTTATGAAAGTTCCATCTCAAAAGGGTCAAAAAAGGGGAATTAACTGCTATGAATTCTTTGCATTCAGGGCTGCAAAACAAAGACACATATTATTTAAATCAGTTTTATTTAAGAATTTCCAACATTGACAACTCTTATAAAAAGCATCCAAGCACAGGACACAGAACTGCAGCAAACAGCATTCTTATGGGTAGCTAACAGACATTAGAACTTCCACCCTTCTTTGAGACACCTGAGCTCACTGGTGAACTCTGCTTCCAAGTACTCCTGCAAAGCACACCACAAGCTGAGTCCATGTTCTCAACCCATCAGCTTCAGTTCACATTACCACACTTACATATCAGTAACAGAGGAGAACACACACCATACAGCATTCACAGCAGTTGACAAAGGGGCAGGGGAAGTACAAGTATCATTTCACTTAACACATTCAACTAACGTGGGTTATCTAAGAACAAAACTCACTTAAAGTCTTCCAACAGATGTGGATGTCCTTTGAATGCAAAAAACATTCGTACATTATTTGCTATCATTGCTCTCTGCATACTCTCTCACCAAAGCCACAGGATTGAGAGACACATCTCGCCAAGTTAAAAAATATCCATTATGCACCACCAAGTCTCTGCACGCGCTCTCTCCTTTCCTCGCTCATACTAGCCTTTCATGCCTCGGCACCACCATCAATCCCACACAAGGTTTCAAAAGTTCAAACAGCTTTCTGGTTCCAAATCACAGCCTTGCGTTCACAGCGTTGATACGACTCCATGAAATAAAGAGTAGCGGATAAAAATGGGACACCCACCGTCAAAGACGCAGCCTGTGCAGCGTGATGACGAATTCTTGAATGAGAAAGCATGTAGACAGAAGCATTCCTATGGCAGAATATTTACAGCACTACTTTCAATGAAGTGCTTCTTCCATAAACATTTGAAATGAGATGAACTGCAGAGATTAAATGAAGGCTTCATATTGTACTTTTGTATATGAGAGGAGACAAGTGTTAAAAAACAAAACCAAAAGAACCAAACACTGTGACACCATGATCTCCCAAAAGGAGATTTTCCTAAGGAAAAAATCCATATGGTGGGGTTCAAATTAAAAAAGGAGAAAAGAATGTAGTTCTAATCAATGGTTTCCACTTTGAACATGCAAAGAATTCACTTAACAAGTCCAGGGATAAAACATTACAGGAGAAACCTTTTAGATATCAATTGTAGTGTGTTGGTTTACCAATCAGGCAAACAGCAATTCACTTTCAACCACTCAATATTTCAACCCTTTATGTAACAAAACTTATAAAATTCCTTTAGCTCTTCCTCTTTTTCTAAAGAAAAATGTCAAAAATACTGCTGAATATACTCCACACTGAACAAACCAATTTTGAAAATTCTTAGTACATATGTATTTTACAATATACTTACCATGAGTTTAGAAAAATTTGAATTTCCACCATTCTAACTAACCAACCATAACCCACTATCTACATTCCCCAGCCAGAAGATTTAGAATCCATGCTTGAGCCAAAGCCTCCATTGAAACCACTACCTGACCCTGCATTTGATGCTGATCCCCAACCAATTGCAGCACCAGAATTAGAACCACTATAGGAATTATTTCCAGACCCAAAAGCTTGATTTGGCTCTCTCTGCATGTTGCCCTGGCTTTGGTTATTACCTGATGGGCCTGACTGGTTCTGCTGACTGGCTAACATGCTCATCATACCCCAACTGCTCTGCAGCGCTGCCTGGGCTGCTGCCATCATTGCTGGATTAATGCTAAAAGCACCAAAGTTCATCCCTCCACCCATGTTACTACCCTGATTGTTTCCCAAGCCAGCTCCACCCCCTCTACTGTTACCAAACCCACCCTGATTCCCAAAGCCACCTGGATTACCACCAAATCTTCCACTTCTCTCTAACTGCCTATTGCTATTGTGCTTAGGTTCAGCATTGGATATATGCACGCTGATTCCTTTAATGATCAAGTCCTCTCCACAAAGAGACTGGGCAACCTATAAAAAATAAAGGATGTAAACAAAGGAGATTAAACCACTGACTCATACCTCAAAATAGCAATAAAAAACTAGATTTTAAGCACAATTTATCTGAACTGGAGGAAAAATAAGTAATAAATACTCATTTCACCGAAACCTTCAACATAGCCTTTCAGCTTTAGTAAAGATAACAATGGTAAGTTTTTTCAAAAGATACATAACAGGGCCTGAGGGTACGGCTCAATGGTAGAGCGCTCACCTAGCACGTGTGAGGCCCTGGGTTCGATCCTTAGCACCACATAAATAAATAATTATGTCAAACTAAAAAATAGATAATTAAAAATATATATATACATAACAGGGCTGGGGCTATAGCTCAGTGGTAGAGCACTTGCCTTACAGGTGTGAGGCCTTGGGTTTGATCCTCAGCACTACATAAAAATAAAGATACTGTGGTCCATCTACAACTTAAAAAAAAAAAAAAAAAAGATACATAACATTCCTGAAGACCACATACTAAAAAATATATAAAGAATATCTCCTTAATATCTAGGCCTATGTACCCCACCCCTTAGAAAGTCAAAAACTTAGCTGAATGAAAAAAATTCAAGAGAAAATGCCTAATTAGCTGGGAGAAATTAGCAAGAAGAAAAATACCTGATCATCTGCAAATGTAACAAAGGCAAAAGCCCTGAATGGTTTGGGAATGAAGACATCTACCACTTCTCCATACTGACAGAAGAACTGCTGCAGCTCATCAGCAGTCATGTCCTCTGTACAGCGCCCAACAAACACCTTTCTGCTTCTCAAAGGCTCATCCGGGCTTTGCTGGTAAAATCAAAAGGAAAGAAAAACATCAGAAATATTTTATAAGCAATGCAAAGAGCATTATGGTAGGGATGTTGCCTTGTACAACAGGTAAACCATTAAAAGGTAGGCATACTACTTCTTACATCAGTACTTCTCTAACTTGTAAGCCTTTAACAAAGAATAAAGTTTTTTCTTTTTTTTGGTACCAGGATTGAACCCAAGAGTGCCTAACCACCAAGCCACATCTGCAGCCCATTTTTATTTTTGAGACAGGGTCTCACCAAATTGTTTAGGGCCTCACCAAGTTGCTGAGGCTGGCTTCAAACCTGCAATCCTCTTGCTTCAGCTTTTTGAGCTACTGGGATTACAGGCATAAACCATTGTGCCCAGCAAGAATAAACTTTTACATTATGAAAGTATACTTGGATTTATGATGATCAATGAGCATCCTGGCACAGATGCTCCCATATGCCTTTATAACAAGATTAATGTATTCTGATTGACTTCATGTTTGAATGCATACTGTAAGAAACCTGACAGAAATAATAATAATATTTGGGCTGGGGTATAAAGTTTGGGCTGGGGTAGGGTTTAGCTCAGTGGCAGAGCACTTGCCTAGCATGCTAAGATCTTGGGTTTGATTCCCCAACACCACAAAAAAAAAATCAAAACAAATTTTTAGTTTGGAAGAATAACAGATTAAATATTTCAAAGCAACATAAAATATTCAGCATGCATTAAGGTTCAAAGACTTCAACAAAGAAAAAGATCGATTCACAAACACACCCTGCAACTGAACCCAGGGTCTCATGCATGGTAAGCATATGCTCTACCACTGAGCTATATCCCTAGCCCCGGCCATGACCTTTTCCAGGTGTACTTAATGTTTTATGTTAGTGTCTTCTAAGGAAGTTGGTCAGCAAAATTCCCAAAGTATAGAGGGGAAAAAGTGAATACCTTAGAATTGGGGAGTTTACAGTCACACCATCGTCCATCTATCATATGTCGCTGTGACATTACTTTCACCTGGGTTTCATATTCCGTAAATCGTACAAAGCCAAACCCTTTTGAATGACCAGTTTTAATATCTTTCTTGACCTGAAAAGACAATTGATATTTACTTTAACACAATGCTCATACCCCCAAATCAGAGTTCTCTGACAGAAAACTTAAATGATTTAATCAAATGAGATAGATAATTAAGATTAAATCAAGTTAGTCTTCAGGTAAAACCAATAGGAGGGAATCCAGATTAAAATTACAACAATGTTTTAGAATGAGTGCAAATATAAATTAGATTTGGTTATAAATCTTAACTAATCAAATAGGAAAAGCAAACATTTCTCATCAATATATACACAACAAATCGAATGTCTGTCACCTACTTCCCTTAAGTTTACCAACAGAATTTTTTCAGTTTGGTTTTTTTTTTTTGATACTAGGGATTGAACCCGGGGGCACTCAACCACTGAGTCACATCCTCAGCCCTATTTTGTATTTTATTTAGAGACAGGGTTTCACCGAGTTGCTTAGTGCCTCACTTTTGCTAAGGCTGGCTCTGAACTTGTGATCCTCCTGTCTCAGGCTTCCAAGCCACTGGGATTACAGGTGTGTGCCACCTAGCCCAGCTAGCTTCATTTTTATAATATCAAATGCAACGCATATGCATGAAGCCAAATTTCTTTATGAGCATCCCTATGTACATACACTTCAAAGAAACATTAAAACTCTTGTAACAAAGGAACAGTGCCACTAAAGAAGTAAGAATGCTACAATGCTCATTCACTGGTAAAGAAAACTGCTAAATGAAGTAAATTTTTACCTGCACCATAAGAACTTCTCCAAAAGTACTAAAATACTCTTTCAGGTCCTGTTCGGTTGTTTTCCATGGGAGACCCAATACTATTAAATCAGATGTTTTTTGGACTGCTCTTTTCACTTTCACTGCCGATGAAGCATCTGTCTCATCCATTTTCCTTTTGTTATCTAAATAAAATTAGTAGACACCTTTTAGAAAATTTCACTTAGTCCTCCTTTAAAAACACACTACCCCTTGTGTCTAGAAATGAGAAGCTAAAAGAAGATTCTAAGAACAAGAAGACAATGAAAAGATGGCAAGGAGTAATGTCAGCTCTCACAGATAGAATGAAGGTACATTCAGGAATTCCCAAATTCAGGTTTTGTAATATCTCAAGACTATAATCAATGGTAGGTTTTCCCTCACAAAAACTATAAAAACTTCATTTCTGGCTAAATATATTTCCTTAATTATTGAAATGTCTAATGTATATTTAAAGGCTACATACTAATTTAACTTTAATCTCCATATGTGAATTTAAAGACAATTTTAATTTTTGTCTTTTCCAAACATCCAACAATACGCATCAATTTCATAATAAGAAAACCAGAGGTTATTATTAAAAGCCTTGGGTTATTTGGAAGGGGAGAACTAAGTTGACTTTTTTGAGGTTGGGTACTAGGGACTGAACTCAAGAGCCCCACACAAGCTAGGCAAATGTTCTAACACCGAGTGACACCCCCAGCTCTTTTTTAAAAATTTGAGACAGGGTCTTGCCAAGTTGCTGAAGCTGACCTCCAGTCAAACTTGCGATCCTCCACCTCAGCACCCCAAGTAGGTAGGATTACAAGCATGCACCACCTTGCCTAGCTTTAAATGAAATTTGGACACATATTAAATCTATAGTCAATAGTTCAAGAAACAGCCTCCTGAAAAAACTTAGTTTACACCATCAAACATAAGTCAATGCCTTGTTTAGTGAGCAAGTTTGGTGAACTACTTTGTTACAATATTGTGATTTTTTGTGTGGTACCAGAGATTAAACCTGGGGTACTCTACCAATGGCTACATTCTCAGCCTTTTTCATTTTGAGACAGAGTTTGGCTAAGTTGCCAACGCTGGACTGGAATTTGTGATCCTCCTGACTCAGCCTCCTGGGCAGATGGGACTACTGGGGTGCACCAAGGCACCCAGTCTACAATATCAAGTTAAAAATAAAACTAACATACATATTTATCAACTAGCATAAATTCATACTGCTAAATGTTCTTGGTATGCTTCTTAATCCTCATGGTTCCCCCCACTTTTTAATATTTTTTAGTTGTAGTTGGACACAGTACCTTTATTTATTTTTATGTGTGCTGAGGATCAAACCCAAGGCCTTGCATGTGCTAGGCAAGCTCTCTACCGCTGAGCCACAAACCCAGCCCCATGGCCTTTTTCTTAGATTTATAATGTCAGTGATAACCAGCAGCGAGAATAAGACCAGAAGCTCAAAAATGGGACTGCACTAATTCAAGATTTGGATTACTACAGTTGATGTACATTTTAAGGGGGGCGGGGGGAGAGAATAACCAGATAAATGAATGATGGAAGGACAATAATCAAACCAAAATACTGGCGTACTTTAGGAGAATCAATTTACAAGACTGATAAAATTGCAAGACATTAGAAAGTCCCTAAATATGGCATTAACTTAGCAATGCTTATTCAGATAATTGATTAAATACATAGTTTTCTCCGGGGGGAAAAATGTTCTGTAATTCCCAATTTGCATTAATTTAGACTTGTGGTCTTCAAAACTAGTCTAACAGTGAAGTATGTGGATATATACTTGGGTTATAAGAGACGGTCTGCCATGAAAAGAGGCGATGATCTAACACTAGGGACAAGACACAAAACCAACTAAGCATCAGCAATGTTGCAAAACCAAAAAGCAACAAACCTTTGGGATAGTTGACAACATATACCAGGTTTCCCCAACCAGCATCAGGGGCATGCAGAATTCCTTCTACTAGGCGAACACCTCTCATACACTGGGTCACTGGATTCCTGTAGCGCAGCCCACATGCCCCTGGAAACTGGGCTGTAACTGTGGACAGCAGCACTGTCCCATCATCTTCTGATGGTATTTCAATGGGCTCATCATTCTCATCTTCCGTTACCCGAATATATTCAGACATCTCTTCTTACTTCTCTTAAAGGGAAAAAAGAGAGCGAATGAGCAACAGTCCCGTCAAAGTAATTACAGTTAGCTGATAACACCATCCCATTACTGTTCTGACTTCCAGAAGAAACTCTTGCTCTTTTAATTCCCACACCTATTGGCCACCCCCGAAAACCGCGGCAAAGGCAAGGATGTGGCTTTCCTATTAAAATTTTGATGCCTCCCTCAACAGTTCATTCATTCAGTGCCCATTTAGTAAGAGCTTACTACGCGTCGCGCGCTGAAACTGGAACTGGGTCCCCACGTGGCACACTGGTTACAAAGGCGGGAGTAAGCAAGAGGAAGAAAGTAAACAAGTAGCTGTTTTATTACAACCGTGAAACTAGTAAATAACCCTGAAGGCGCGGGAGAACTTGAACTTGGCCGGGGCTCGTACGAGTGAGGATCAAGGCAGACTTCCTAAGAAGGCAGGGCACAAGCCGGGCCTTGAGACTGGAGGGGCAGGGGGCCAGGGGACGCGAACAGGGGGACGGTCCCTCTCTGTTCCTAATTTTGGGGCGGCTCTCCAAACTTGAGCCGCAAGGACAGCGGCGACAGGTCCTCCGTGAAGTGGGCCGCCGCCTCCCAGAAGCCAGTGCGTGCAGGCCGAGGGAGGAGTTCCCAGCGCGGCCCGGGCGGCGACGCAGGGGCACCAGGCCCGAGCGGGCACCGACTGTCCCCTGGCGCGAGGTGTCGCAGGCACAAGCGTGGCCCGGGCCCCGGCGCAGACCGACCCGCTGCCTGCTGCTGCTCGGCACCGCGGGCCGGGCATCCCCACTCCGGCGCCCGCAGCCGCCCGCGCCAGGCCCTAACGACGCTGCCGCGCGAGCCCGCCCGGGCAGGGCGAGGTAGGCCTGGCTCCGCGGCTCCCTTACCGGGCCTCTGGGCCCACCTCAGGCCGCCCCCAACGCGGGAGGCGAGACACCCGCGGGGTCCACAGTGAGAAGCGTCCGCGACTCACCCGCTAGGCCGCTGCTAGGAAGCGCGACACCGAAACTGAAGCAGCGAGGGATCCGAGAGCAGCCCAGCTACCTCTACGTTCCCACAAAATGGCGCTAGAGCCGCCTCCTCCCCCCCCCGCCGGCCGTCGTCCTCTCCCACCGGCTCCGGGTCAAGAGGGGGAGGGCGCCGCGCCAAGACGCCAGGACCTTCTCCTCCGCGGGCTGGGCGCCCTGCTGGGAGTCCCAGCGTGAGGAGAGAAGATTTAAATGCTACAATAAGACCAACACCTGGGCCTGAAAAATTAGAGACTGAAAAAAAATACGGACGCGCAGACTTTTAACTCCCCCTACGTAACGTAGCAGATAGTTTCGCCCGACCAACCGCCGGCC